CACTGCTTTCTATGTGTAAGACCCTTAGTAGTACAGTAGCGGTCCCGCAGATCTACTCGTGCCGGAGTTCTTTTCTGATGGAGCACGATCGCTGTCATTGCCATTGCTGCTGCAGCTGTGAGGCGTAGTTCAGCCAGCCTTCCGGTCCACTCGCGTTCATCTGAAATTCATCTTATTGTTCAGGAACACTGCAACAGTTCGGTCAGTGCACTCCCCCTCGTACTCAGAATATTCACACAAATGCCGCAACTTCGCGTTTTTTTTCGGGTTCTTGTTATAAGTCGATTCAGAAACGAGTATTCTAGAGATGAGCAGCAGCTCAATTCAGCTCGTCAAGCCCTACAAGATCTCGCTTTACTGTTTTATGCATCATTCCGGAATGTGCCATGCACTCGAGTTTTCTTTCGAAAGCTAAGTGAATGTATACGCCGCACATGAAATACCGCTTATGCAAACTATTAGCCAGTAGGGAAAAAGCGTTCAGCATTAGCCCTAGAATGCGCCGCGTACTCGAATTCATCCAGTGCAATGTGAGTTTACCAGGAAAGGGTGATAAGTCGATGTGGCCCTATGCAATGAGACCTACACTGTTGAATGTGTTTTTTGACGCTGTTCTCGAATGTGCTTTCCAAATCTGCCAATCGACTTTTTGAAGCACCTCTTGCTAAGAAAATCCAGGGAGATTTTGGGACGGTGAGTTCTTCCTTGTCCACCTCAAAGGATGCCCACCTGTTTCCCTCTCCAGACCACGTCTAGAACAGAAATCTCATCCCAACCATCATGATGTCAAAATTGACATCTGATCTTTCTTCGATCAGAACTCAGTGGACTTCTACAAGAGAGGCATCGAACAGCTTCTAGTGCGTTGGTCCACTATGCTGGATGAATGGAACAAAAAGATAAAAAAATATTGAAATCAAAATTTAGCTAGTTTGTTGCAAGACTTATGGATCCAACTTAACGTTACTCGTTAGAACTCGAGTGCATGGCACATTCCAAGATGAAGCTTTCCAGAACATAAGGCGAGGTCTTGTAGGGTCTAACGCTGTTTTCGTCCTGGAGTGCTCAACTCTGAATGGACTCGTAACAAAAACACGAAAGAATTGTGAATTCAGGGTATATGTGTGAATTTTAAAGTTCTAGGTCGAGTACTGAACGTTCGGTCATACCGTCACCATTGACTTTATTCCTCGTATTCGTTTCCTCCTCGTTACTTCTATGGAAACAATTGTGGCCAAAGGAAGTAGCAACGTGCACAGAGGAACAGTCTGAATGCCACGAATTACTCGTTCACGGATAGCTAGCAAGTGGTCGCTCGAACTCACATAAACAGTTTCCTTGAGCGGGTCGTACATCGGATCATGGCTGATTGTCAAGCGAATGTAACTCATAAAAAAGGCGTACAGGGCAAAAGTTGTCAGCTGAACGGTGGAAATGACGCAAAGCATCGCCGATGTGGATACATTTTCAGAAAGTTGATAACGAGAGCTCAACGTCGTCCTGAAATACTCCAGAAACTTACACCTGTGATCACAAGGAGCTTCAAAGAAGAGATGAAGGGATGCCGTAAAGAAAGACCTCACTGAATGAAAAGCAACGGAAGAGGCTCCGGATGGAAAAGTGTAGACGCGTAACAAAAACAGTGAACCCTGCGACGGCAACCCTATCTAGAAGAACAGTCTTCCAATGGTTTGCCGCAGAGGGCTCGTTTTGGGTCATCTGTGCCATCTCGTTTGAAATTTACAAAAGTCTGAAGAGCTCCTTGAAGGCACGCGGAGAGGATTGCAGGACAAAAGGAGTTTTACAGCGGTTCCGTAACTGTCTACAAATTGCTCTAATCGGAGAATTAAAATCTCATTGTTCCTCCTATCTAACCAGGGTCAACCAGGGTGTTGAGAATTTCTGGGTTCACTACAATGCAGGGTTTGATGACTAGATTTGTTGATTTCGACTCACAGCTCCTGATACCTATCATGACATGCATTTTATGTGTCGAAGAAAGTGACGTACAACATATGAGTAAGAAACGCGATGAAACGAGTTGTTGGATTATCGCTGTTGTTTCGACAAATTTTATTTGGCTTTGACGAATCCGGCAAGAACTGCTGTGTACCTTGAAAAGGGGAAAGTGGGTATTTTGTACGCTTCAAGTGCTCCTATTGCTGAAAATTACTGTTTAAGGACCAGACGAAAATGCTCCCTAAATTCACGTCACCGCGGAAAAGCAACGGTGGTAAATGCCGTAACATCTGTGAGCCGCCTCAACTCCGCAGCTGCCCACCGAGCTAAACCTGGTAATTTCAAGGAAATGGGTTGATCACGGCACTTTCGATAATCAATGCGATTGAACACGGCAGTTGGGACGGCACAATGGGAATGCGTGCAAATCCGCCTTTTGGCGGGAAAGTGATCACGGCAACTCAACAACCACAAGAAGGAAACACTGTCTTACGCGTTAGAGACGAACTGAGAGCTATCGCACCTTCTCTGGGAGTTGGGAGTGAATACGGTTATCTGGGAACGTATCCTATTCCTTCCCCCAGGGGCACGCGTCCCCCGCCGCTGATCTTATCCTACGGCTGGGGAAACAAGGTTGCGTCATAAGACCAGCCATAGAACCCGTGATGTTGTAGCTACCATCCCTTGCTGATGCACATTTTCTCTGAGGAGGTCGCGCCTGGAGACGTAGAGTATGGCTGGTCTTATGACGCAACCCTGTCTCCCCCAGCCGTAGGATGAGATCAGCCGTGGGGGATGCGTCCCCTTCGGGAAGGATAAGGGAAAAAATACGACCCCTGGAACGGGATCTGGACCGCGAATGGGCGATCTTCGTGCGCCTTTGACAGGAAGCAGGGGCAGGGTTATACGAACGTTGTGCTGAAAATAAAATATTTTCTGCTTTTCTAAGCTTTCTCACCTATAGCGCCTAGACTAAGCTTAGGGGAGGGGAGTGAAACTCCGGAGTGGGTGAACCACGCACCGTGTGGCAAAAGTTGGAGTGTGTTAGACCACAGGGGAGTGGCCTACTCACTTTGGAGCCCTCCACTATTCAAAGGCTTAGTCCTGATTGCGATCTAATTAGTGCGAGGGCGCACAGACGAGCATTAGGCATAGCTGTCAACAACAAGCACGATGTCAGTATCCGTGTGATCAGGACCGACCCACAATAAGCCCCTATCACAAAGGAAAGTTTAACAGCGAATTTAGTGCGAATCACAGTGGGGCTAACCTGGCGTCAAGTTGCGCTAGAAGCCGAAAAATTAAATACATATTCGTCGAGTTAGGCATACATATAATGTTGACGCTCATGTCGTTAGGGGGACATTGAAATGAGTGGGCCACTGATAGAACTTGGGACTAAGCTTTAGGGAGGGGATAGGATTTTGGGAGCAACCATCGTTCTCTCTTGTATTTATTCCCAGTCCTGGGCTTAGTCCTAGTGTCACCTACCAGCGGTTTTTGAATGCTCTGCTCTGAATGTCCCCCCTAAGGACATGAGCGCCCAAAAGTTTCAGCGAAAATTATTTTTTGACCCATCTCAATAGTGCCAACATGACTTAGCATGAAAGGAGGCTGATTGTGAGCAATCACAGCTATTCCTACAAGCTTGCTTGGATTGAGGCTTAGACCAGGAAGTTTCGAGTGCCAAAGGTTTGTCAGCCCATATGATCCCGAATACCCCAGCTGGGATCTCACCAAGACTCGTCCCCTTTTCCCTCCAACCATCTTCGCTAACTGTCTATATGTAGGTTCAACTCACTTTCTCTAAAATGATTGTCGATGGGTAAACAGAGACAAAACAGAAAAGCTCCTGAAATTTTCTAAATTTCCTGTGGGGCATCTGAATGTTTCAAGATTTCATAGCGTTTCTGAAGTATTCCCAAATCTTGCCCATGGAATCTCTGAACGCTCTGTTAGCCTTCTTCCCCTCCCTTTCGAAAACCCAATTTCACCAAAAACGATCACTTCCTCACAGTAACACGCAATCTGCACGCTTCTAAAAACCTCAATTGATTTTCGAAAGGCAGCGGAAGTAATCACACAGTCTCGAATAAGGGACTGAATATGGCGATCACGGCATTTTCGACAGGCAGCTAGATCAAAGTTGCGGTCCTGAGGCGTGATCACGGCAGCTACAATCGCTTACTTGTTCATTGATGCCGTGATCACTCCTACTTTTTGTCCAACATCAGGTTGAATTCAGGGTCAATCATGGCGTTCACCCTGTTTCAGGCCCAGTGCGTCCCTTCTCCCTTAAAGATGTTATCCGTAGAACTTCTCTTTTCTGTTCGTTCTGGAGATAGAGAATAGATTTTGCTTAGAAACTGCTACGAAAAGTGTTAGATATGACTGTGGTTATATAGCGCATGGTGAACGATTGAGCATGTTAATTTTGATAGTGATGATGCGAAAGGCATGCTGCTCTTTAAGGAGCATAACTTCCTCAAAAAGGAAGCCGAGAGAGCGGACACTCTGGCGCACATTTCAATGAAGCCCTCTAATTCTGGTTTGGAATTGCTGTAACGTGTTCAAACGTGTACGAGTGTTTTGAAATAATTAGTTTTTGGCGGCATTATTCCAATGCGATTTTTGGAAGTTTGCTCCACGTTGTGAGGTTTTTGTGCTTTACGTTCCTTTACTCCGCATTTTATGCTGAATGGCCCGTTCGAACGTCATTTTGTCAACACGGTCATCATTATTCCTGCTGTCAAGATAACCCTCAGAGCCGAAAAGAGAAAGACGATCGGCCTTGGAGGGCTCTGGTTTCCACATCTACAAATTTGGGTTCTCTCCAGCGATCCCTTCCTTCCCAAACCTCCACTGATGAAAATACTGGCGCGTGTCTCCCCGGCCTCTGCGCTCACGATCCCTCCCGCTTCCGTTGACCGAATACGACCCCCTCCTTGACGAAATACCAACAGGCGGTTGACCCCGTGTCTAACCTTTACCCGACAATACAGCCGCCGGCTTTCAAAATTGTGCAGCAGTAGAGGTGGTTCATAACGTCCTGGTAGATTTGGCTCTTTCCCTTCTGCTAACGAGTTTATCGCAGGATCGTGAGCCATGGATGGCGTCCCTCAAAAACAAGTCAGCCGCGACCTTCGCAAAAACCATAAATTTTGCGACCCTCTTTCCCAGGAGGTCTAGACCCGACTCCCCTTCCCCCACAGCGCGTGGGGAATTTCAACCTGGAATAACCCCTCCCTTCCCACCACCACTCTCTCCATCGTGGCTGTTTCAGTTAGTACTTGATTCTGAGACCAACACACTCGAAGTGCGCCCACTTTTTCAATTTTCCGTCCAAAGCAGTCGTCAAGTTGGAAGACCGTCGGGTGGAGTGTTCTAGTGAAGCGGAAGTTAAGTACTCGAAATATCATTTTTCCGTTTACGTTTTTGTTCTATGGCTTTTAACAGAAATGTTAAAAAAACGACCCCTCTGTCCTCCACCGCAACACGAACCCCTCCTCCATTCGAAACCCCGAAAACACCGCCGAAAGCCGCAAATACGACCTCCCGTCGATAAATTATTATCAGACAGTTGACCTTGGCTCATCATCTGCTTATTAAGGCGTTTTGCGGGCATTTATCTGATCGGCATTATGTGAAACGTGTGCACCAGAGACCATCGTCATTTCTAGTTTGTTCCACTTTGGGCGGGATTTGTGATCGAGTGAAAGTGCTTGAGAGAAGCTGAAACGAGGCTTACCGTTTTTTACGACGTAAATTGAAGCAGTACTGTGCTATGTTGATCAGCAACGTCACACAACAAACAACAAATATCACAGCGAAAGATGCCGTCACGTCTGTACCGGTCGAGTCGGTGACCATCAGGCTGTTCGTCATCAGAACCTCGGCGAAGTTGTCACCGAAGGTGCCAGCTATCTCGATACCCGTCAGCAGCAGCTGAAAGCCGAGTTTTCTGCAAGATCCCAGCACTTCAGCGGTTTTGATAGCAGCAACAAAAAAGGTTCACACACCGGGGACCCACCGTGGTAGAAAGCGGGGCGGAGAAGTCGCAGCGATGGGACTCCCAGAGCAGAGGAGAACACGTAATAAAAGCCAGAAAAGTTTTGTGTTTAAAATGGTGCTCCTATTTCTTGCGCTCAATTTCGAGCTTACGATAGCTGACATCACTTAACGCGGTGCTCTGCCTCTCTGCCGCAAGGGTCATAGCGCAGACAGGTAAAGACCAGCAGTGCAGCCGTTATTTGGAGGCGGAGCTGACCAAGGAGGCAGAGTGGGAAATGACAATGTCTTCTTCGTTTCGTTAGCTCGGTCCCACCATCTCCTACTAAGGCGCCAGGCTTCTGTCCTCCTGGGCTATTTACCCCATCCAACTGCCTATCTTCGGCCCTTAGCAGTACCGCAACGGTCTCACTTCTCCGGTTCTTCGTAAGCCCGGGATATCAACTCTTGGGATATTCAATATAATCTTAGGTGCACAAACCAGGAGAGTGACGAGAACAGCGCCAAGTGCTCGACACTGCTTCTCGTAGGTGTCGACCCACACCGTGGCGACGATCCTCTCGACGACCATCACCACCTGAATGTTCTGCAGGCACACATTCGAGTAAGCGATCAGAGTGTGCGTGATAATGTAGAACGCTCGTGGGAGGAACAGATGACACGGGTTTTCCGTGAAGAAGGACAATTGCAGTTGATAGACCTGAAATGGAAATTTTGCTTCCTGAGCGGTTGACGGTTCGAATAAGTCCTCTCACTTTTTTGTAGGACGATATTTCTTAAAAATCGCCTCGGAAATCGACTGTAATGGAATGGAAGTAACTGGGAAGTTCTGGCTCAATCGAGAAAGCCGGTCACGGCCTCACATCGAAAGTGAAACCGAAGCAGCACGGATTTTCTCGAAAAGCCGGCGAAATGACTGCGCGCGGGCGAAGAAGATTTCTGCTGCTCACTTACACTTAAAGGCACATTCCACGATTATCTAACAAGATCGTGACAGGTGTAATTCCTTTGGGAATGTGGAGAGCTGGTCCGTAGCCCAAGAAGCAATGTCGTTTCAGCGCTTTGGGACTGAGCTGCAAGGGCACTAAGGGCACTAGAGTTGTCAGTGCCACTTCATCGCAATCCTTGCTTTCCGGTTGGAATGGGTGCTAACTGACCCGTTTTTTTCCTTTGAAGGGTCGTTGAACATAGTTCCGAATAACAGCTGCTTGGGACTAAGGAGAATAAGCTGCTTCTTCTCTTTCTGGATTTCCTTTGTTCTTGTGCCTCTTGCCTTGAAGACCCCTCCTTAACTCTAGAAGGACTGGGACCTAATCCCGACCCGTGGCTTTAAACATGAGATTTTCACGTCAATCTTTCTGTCGAGAACTTGTCTTTAATTCCAAAAGAACAGAAACCTTCCCCAATCTGGTCCTCGTATGCGCTACCACCCTTGTTTTCTCTTTACAGTGATGTTAACACAAATAAGGGCCTACGAAAAGTATCCAATGCAGTCTGAACAATCCAAAACACTTGTCCTTGCAGATAGCTTGATGTTCGAGAAATCCGCTCTACCAAGCAGTCCAAATAATAAATCTTCTGGAGTCGATAGCAGCGGTCATTCTCATTGTGTTTGTCGTGTCACGCTACAGAAGGAAACTTCCAATTCATAAGAATATTGAAGTTTGTTTGGCGTCAATTTCATTTACAAACTAGCTTAGTCTTGGAAAACTGACAGCACTCAGCCGTGGTTACTTCAATTTTTCGAAGCCTTACTTAAAATCTCGATTTTCAATGCTATTGAATGCATAATTAGTGTGATACGTGGATGTCAGTACGGCTTGAGGTTGGCTTGCATCAGGAGAGTCGGAACTGCTTAGGAGTCAGGCTGGAACGAATCCACCTGAGTTGGTTTTCAGGTACTGACCATGAGATGTCTCAAAAGCGGGATAGTATCGGTTCGAACACCCGACAGAAACATTGGCGATTTGGGACGGGATATAATGCGCCCCTCAGCTGTGAGATTGGGCTACCAAGGTTTCCCCTCCATCTCTTATCTATTGTCTACATGAAAATTCGTTCAGCTGCAGTCTCACCCTTCTCAGCGCGTACTGGTAACAACGGGGGTCGTACTTGGTTGAAGTTTGTAGGGGGGGGGGTCGTACCCGTTTCAGTCGCTTGAAATCACATGTGAGTTTGAGGTGAAACTGAAGTTTTTATGGGTAGGTAGGCTGGGTGAGTTGAGGGGCAGGAAAAAAATTTGCCGTTTCAGCGCGCGTATATATACCCTAGAAAACGCCAGTAGAAAATGAAGTGTATGGAATATCCCTACTATATATAATGCGCTATGTCTGTCTGTCTGTCGTTCTGTGTCTGTCTGTCACGAAAATCCCTAGGAACCGCCTGGAGGGACCGGGTCAAGTGTGGGATGGGTGGGCAGGGTCTCACGAAGTACAAAACACACATCAGCTAAGCGGAGCCCCGCCCACAGTGGGCGTGGCGTGCGTCGAAATGAATTGTACCGAAGACCAAGATTTCGATTTCAGTGACAAAACGACCTCGAAACTGGGCCAAAAAGTGGGTAAGGTGTGCATTGGTAAGTCACATCGAATTAGGGAGACCCACCTGGGCGGGGCGTTCTCCAAAAAAGCAGTGCTTTATGAAAAAATTCATAACTCGGTTTGGAGTGAGTCTATAGTTCAAAGAGAAAGTCGTGTAGGGGAGCAATGTCTAAGGTGCATTCCAGTATGCCTGACGTTGGCGGAGGCCCGCCCACTATGGGCGGAGCGCGCTCTGAAGTGTACAGCGTTTTCTACAAGCCCTCATAATTCGGGTCGGAGAAGTTTTAGGGAGCCGGAAAAAGGTGGATAGAGGTGGGTGAAGGAGTGGAGTTCAACTGTCGTCGGGGGGCGGGCATGACCAAAGTGGGCGGAGTTTGCGACGATAATTCATAACTCAGTTCCAAGAGGTCCCGGAGACCGGGAAAAAGGTGGATAGAGGTGGGTGGAGGAGTGGAGGCCAGCTGTCAATGGTCGGCGGGGCTTGACCAAAGTGGGCGGAGTTTGCGATGATAATTCAAACTCATGCTTCAAAGAGGTCCGAGACAGGAAAAAGGTGGGTAGAGGTTTAAGGAGTGAGAGGTCAGCTGCGGGGCGCGGCTGACAATTGCGATTTTATTGAGTTTGTCAACGAAGGGAGGTCAACCGCTATTTGTGGGTTGAGCGTACGTTGAAGTAGACGTGTTTGTCACGTGATATTACAGAGGTTGAAAGAGAGCACAGAGGCTGGGAAAGTGGGTAAAGGTTGGCGAAGGAATGGGGTCAAATGCTATTTGTGGGCGCCAAGGATTTGCGGAGTTTCCCACGGTGAACTATAAAAATATCATGGCCCTGTTTCCTTTCAGTGCAGTCCCGTGTGATGCACGCGAATGCGTGCGCCGCTAAACTGGTAGGGTAGAATATAGGTAAAAGCCGGTAAAAGTAGGAGTAAAATGGCGGAGATATAGGGAATTTTTACTGTTTCAGAGTAGCTATATACCCCGCTTCGACGGCATTTTTGGAGGAAAAAGTGGGCGGATTTGGTGGGTTGAGTGGTATCAGAATTTATACTACACTGCGTTTCATAAATATAGGTCCACCCTAAATTTTTGCTACCCCAAAGTTGCTGTGCATTTTGAAATGCTGCTATCACCGTTAGATTCCTCATCACGGAAAACCTTTATAGTGTTTTTCTGACAAAGTTCCCCCTCAAGTAACCCAATTAACTTTTTCAGAACGAATTTTCACCGTTTCATGAATATCGGGCCACTCATAAAAAGTTTCCATTTCTCATGATCCGTGAAGGGAATGAGGGAAGCGGGGATATATGTGAGCTTAGTCGACGTCGAGTTTGCCATACCTCGTATTACTCGTATCTCTTCCCAGTGATAAGCTCAAACCAGAGCCCTTACTGAAGTTTGATGGCTGAGAAGCAGAACTGCCTCCCATGTCGGCCGGCTCATGATGCATAAGCAACTATGTGCGAAATCCCGGTCTGTGCGGGAAGAAGAGTAGCCTTGGTAAATAATGACAGCGTTTCATTGAAAATCAAGAGGAATTGGGCGTCTTCTGTCGAATTGGATAAGGCGTCCGAACAAAGTCCGTGCTGAAATGCGGCCTTCCGTAAGCAAAACCACCGTGTTGTGAATAAGCCAGCAGAGCAATGACATCTTCAGCGGATTGAAGAAGCGCGTCCCAAGATTATTTGAGCGCTACAAGATCGCACGTCTCCATCCGTTTCTTCGACCCCCCCCCCCCTCTGGAAAAGGGCTCAACTTAATGAACGAAGGTGTGGCTGTTCAGACCCTTCGCGATCTTGGACTCTACCTCCTTGTTTCATGCTACAGGTGATCTGAGATCGACGTGAAAAAGTTTATTCTAGGTGGATCTGATAGAAAAAGAGGGTACAGGAGGGTTCCGTGAAAATCGCAGATGGTTTCGAAGTAAGGTAATTTTGGCGGAGAATTCCTTGTGGTTTGAGGCACCTTTGAACGACTGAGCGGCTAGAGCTCGTATTTGTTTCCTTTCACGAGGATTCCATAGGGTATCGTTAAGTCCTTCTGAAGCGACTTTTACCATCTTTTCGACAACAGCCCTCTCGAACCTTGATTTTTACGCACGATAACGCAGCTGTCCATGCCGGTCCTTACACGCCAGATGGAAGTGCAGGAAAAAATGTGGCAGTTATCTATTGGCCACCATGTTATATGAATCAGATTCCAATAGAGAATCATTGGGCCTTAATTGTTATAAAGTTCCACAGCAAAGAAAAGCAAAATGGAACAGCCGAAGAGCTGAAAACGTCGATCATCAGCGCGCAGACAAATTTCGATCCCATTGTAATAGCTAATTTGGTTACCAGCATTCCAAAACGTATTATTGTGTTTCTTATGACTAATGGAGGACCACCACATTATTGAAAATTTTTTACGTTTTTTTGTTATAATAAAATCTCTCGACAAGTGATGTGTAGTCATATTTGCGAAACGGTGAAAATACGTTCTAAGAAGATATTTTAATAATTCTGAATCGAGATTTCTCCAAAAATCGAGTATCAAGGTTTTTCGTTATGGGGAAACTATTGGTAATAGCGGCATTTTCCAAAAATGCACAGCAACTTTGGAATAGCAAAAAATTAGGGTGGACCTATAATTTATGAAACGCAGTGTATAGAATTTTACCGTTTCAGAGTGACTATATACCCCGCTCGACGGCATTTTTGGAGGAAAAAGTGGGCGGAGTTTGGTGGGTTGAGTGGTATCAGAATTAAATACTATAGAGACGATGATGGTGGTCGAGGTGTGGAAAAGGGGGTCGTATCAAATCCACCTTGGGGGAGGGGGTCGTAAAAAATTTTCAAAAAGTAACAACGATAGGGTTGACCCTGCGCCCCACCCTGCCCAATCGTGCCGGCAACGGGAGCACCACCAAAGCGCGCCCACACTAAGACGGCCAACCAGTAAACATGTCTAGCTTTTTTTTTTCAGCCTGATCTCCACACTCGTTTGGCGCATTCGCAATTTGTAGGGGAAATAAGTTACAATTGTGATTGTGGCCCCAAAGGGGTTCGTGGGCGCTGACATCCGTTGCAGGTGTTTATGCCCTAACGAGGAGAACAGTAGTGCTTCAGGAGAAGAACTACCTTTGAAGACGAACTTCTGGTCAAATCCAGCTTGGTTCCGAC